TGACCATGACAACTCAGCCGTCCCAGCATAGTGACTCTGAGCGCACCGGCCAAGTTGCCCCGCTAGTCCCGGCCAAATAACCCCACATTGCCATTCTGAAATTTTTTGTCTATAAAGTCGTCATGGCTGTACAGAACGAGATGAAATTGCTCTTGGAACCGCTGAACACCCTCAAAAATGGCGCTATTATGTTGGAATTCGTTTACAGCCCAAATACTACATGTTATACAAATTTTTAAACGGAAGTAAAAGTTACCATTTGCTAACGAAATTCACCTTTTATTAATTTTGAATAAAACTAAGAGGGGGAAAGTTTTGACATTTGTTCTCGAGTTAGTTCTGCCGACGACAAATGAATAGAGACTGAAGTTATTTCATTCACTTCTATCAGCTTTCGTGCAGGTGGGGGCGGCCAATTTACACCACCGGCCAAATTACCCCACTCTCCCCTACCGAGATATTGCAACAATTACAAAAGTGACACCTCTTCGTTTTGCACGTGGCACGTGCATAAGGGGTCACCCACATGCGTCGGGAATAGTCCAATACTTGGTAGAAGGAATGAAGCTACCCTACAAAAATTACCGCGTGTAAATCGGTCAATTGGTTGCTGAGATATAAGCGTCGCAGAATCGTGACCACGGCCGGCCGGCCGGCCGCTCATACTCAGAAATTTCCGTTTTTCTGCGTAAGACTCCGCTCGTTTCGCTCGCTCCGTAATAAGCCTCTCAAAAGCGTCACAGGCCGGTTCGGGCCGGACCGCTCATACTGAGATTTTTTCCGTTATATTGAAAAGACTCGCTTTGCGGTTCGCGCTTGCCCGTAATAACCAATATATAAAGCATACAACCAAGTAAATTTTTCGGCACTAACAGAGTTTTTTAACTATCGAGGAAAGGGTCAAGGTTATAAATTTCCACATTTTATTAGCAACAGATATGTAGCCAGGATTTTGCTCAGAGAGGGGCCACAGGTCGCGGCCTATTATAGTGTCGATCCCCTCAAAAAAGGAAAACTCCTCGGATTTGGCCCTTTATTTTTGGGGGTGTTGTGCAGCTGTTTTGTTGTTTTTTTTTTGTTATTTTTCGCCTACAGGGGGGGGGGCATGGCCCCCTTGCCCCCTTGGCTACGTCCCTGATTAGCAATCTTCCTCGCACAAGTACTTTCCTCATTGAATGATTTCTATGTGAATTAATAATTATTCCCGATGAATTCCATACCTAATGGATAATTGGATAACTACCATGGACGGAACCGCTTATTCGATTCTGACCAAGGTAACAGTAAAAAAACAAGTTTTCCTAAAATTCGTCGACACTTTATGAAACCGTACCGACAATATGGGTGCCCTGGCAGGAGTGACGTCATCATATTAGCATGCTCATTTTTGAAGACACAAAGTCCATGCACTTACCGAGCACAATTTGAAATTGAATAAGTAGGTACTTAGGCATTTTAGCGGTAAAAAAAATCTTGGTAAAGCGCTGAAGCTGCCAAAACTAACGTGAGAGCTTCGATAATTAACTGGGAGCCAAACCACTTTTGAAAAGAGAACGAACTATAGGTACCATAGTTCGGCCAAAAATAAGGCAAGAGTGACGTCATGTTCACTCGATTTTGATAGGTCTATTTTTCAGAAAAAAAACGTAATTAAAGCGATAGAACACATGCAGATGAGCGTCTCTCTAAAAAGTTAATCTGCTATCTTGAAAAATCTTTATTGCAAATAACAGTTATTCGCAATACTATTTTAAAGTAGTTTATTATTTACCATCATTATAGTACCTACCTAATTAAAATACTTGCAGGTCCAGAGAAGCAATCAATCTTGGACCTCGCGGGGGGTCGACCCCCCAAAACACTTTCTCCAAATTCCAAAAACTCCTTGGATTTCAATTCCCTGCGCACTGCTATACAGTAAAAAACAAACTTTTCCTAATAAAAGTTGTTGAGTTTCGTTTTATTGTAGAAAAAAACGCAAATTTTTGCCAATTTCGGGTGCTGGGGGGGGGGAATTTGCCCCGAATGCCCCCGGGAGCCGTCATTGATTAAAATCCGACAGTAAGTACATCACACACCAAAAATAGTAAATTGGGCGCCGAATAACGCAAAATTGGGTAGAGCTTAACAAAGGGTGGTTTCTGGGACAAAAATGACCGCTGAACCCGAATCTGACCGGTGCGCACCTCTAATGTTGCACCACTTCCAGAGCACGTGCAACTGCGTGGTTCATCTTTTTTGGAGAATGGTACCTTTTTAATGAATTGCAGGGTAACGCCGTTGATATTTGAGATATTGTTTTGATATTTTGTCCCTGTACTAAAAACACATGGCGTAATTGAAAGCTGAAGTTTCGCAATGTTCGGACAGCCGATGACGTCACCGTGACGTCATTTACCTATAAATGAGTTCAAAAAGTCGTCTTGTCCTTAAAGCATTTAACTTTATTCCCGTCGTATGCAAATCAGAGAAGGGAAAATAATCAAACATGATCTATGAACATTTCTGGGTCGGATCATGCTAAAATCGTTTTTGCAGAAGTACATGTGAGTCACGTTGAGAACGTGACAGTCCAAGTCACCACCTGACAGATTTGGTCAAACTGGATGAAGTAGTACAGCAGATTGATAAATCACGTGAAACAGGATATTTTATAGCATTTTTACTGTGTTCTGGCGCTGCGACGGCATTTAAATCAAAATGCTGTTGGTTCTATGAGAAAAAAACACTTTTAAATGGCCTCCTTACAATGAAATACCAAAAGATGAAATAATGAAATAATTATTGATGATTTCGACCACAGGTCATTATCAAAATAAGCCAGACAGAACTTTTGTCCTATGTTCCTATGGACAAAAGTTCTGTCTGGCTTATTTTGATAATGACCTGTGGTCGAAATCATCAATAATTATTTCATTATTTCATCTTTTGGTATTTCATTGTAAGGACGGAGGCCATTTAAAAGTGTTTTTTTCTCATAGAACTTATACCTATGCCTTACATACAGCAAGTGCTTCAACAAGTAAAATGCTGTTGGCGTTGAATTGACTAAATATCGTTCTTTTGGTCTTATTTATAGTTCGAATTGTATAATTTTTTTATTTACCTATTTCAAGTAAATATCCATTCCTATGTATAACGGAAAGTCAGCGTGGGTTCAGCCTAGTCGTTACGCGCGTTTGGCAAGCGATAGAAAATGATCTATAATTGTGCTTGTCATGAAGACTGGGAAAAAAATAAACAGCTGTGGTTTTCAAAAAGGGCCAAAATCCCCTTTGTAAGAAAGTGAAATATCTTGGATATTTGAGGAAAACAATCTAAGATCGAGGCGAGACCACACGATAGACGATGCAGGAACAAAAAAGTACCTACAAGAATGATCTGACAACCGAATGCCTCCTCGTAAACCTGTTTTGTGTGAAGTGCATTTTCTTGGGACTACATTGCAAGTAAAAATTCATTTGTATCAAAGGAGCATGGATTTCTGATTGCCCTATAAAGTTGAAACTTGAAGCTTGGTGACACCTTTAACATGCATGCGGCTCGACACAATCAGATACTCTTGGTGCACACATGGAACCATTTTAGACAAAGCTGCAGATTGATGATGACGCAATGATTTATGCAATGATTTTTGACTATTATATTAAAGTTTTGGAATACAACACAGCTACACGACTAGTTTTATTTTGAACTATATAAAAAGGGTACCATTCTTCAAAAAAGAAGAACCACGCAGTTGCACGTGCTCTGGAAGTGGTGCAACATCAGTTAGAGGTGCGCACCGGTCAGATTCGGGTTCAGCGGTCATTTTTGTCCCAGAAACCACCCTTTGCTAAGCTCTACCCAATTTTGCGTTATTCGGCCCAAAATTGGGCCTGCTTCCCCTGACTAAAAAACACGTTTGTGTTTCTGAGCTCAAACTGCATCATAGAGACACCTTTTTGTCGGCAAACCTCAATTAAAAATTGTCATTTTTATTAACCAGTGACCTTTTCTTCGATGTAAATTGTAATCGGCTAAAATGGCTTCGAACGGCAGAGACGACATTATTTTCGTACTATTTGATAGCTAAAACGGACCATATAACAGGAGTCACATGGCCTATACCTACATACATGCCTTAAAATTTCCGTGATCTTTTGCAACCTAGCCTGACCTAGCTTTAAACTCAAACATATCAAGTACAGTCTCGCAACCTCATTCAGCATTCATCTGTGAGCGCGAGAACCAAATATCAGCTTGACGTGAATTATTTGGCGGCAGCCCAAAACAGAAGTGATAACATGCCTAAACGTTGATAATTTTCACGTTCAACTGGCTTGTGACGCATCGGTGACCTCGAAGTCAATACAAGAACGTTTCGCTCGACGTTTTTTTTTAGAACTATTAACCCTCGCCCGGATGGGGGGGGGGGGGGGCGGGCGTTATTGGCCACACCTGCCAGTTTTTTGCGCGTCGTCGAAAACTGCGGCGCGCAGCACCGCGATACTTGGTAAGTCAACTGCAACCAATCACTGAAGCGCCCAGACAACTACTGTCCACGGAGCATACCTTGGTACATAACAGAAAGACCCGTTTTCGAATAAGTGGGTTGGGCGCACGCAAACATCCGACAACATATGACATTATTCTACTCGTACTACGCAGGACCTGCTGGTCACGTTTGGCTAAGCTGCCTCCCCGCACTGCTTTTGCACTAACCAGTCCCTGCAGAGCCATTTATAGCATCCTGTGCCAGAGGGTAACACGCACCTGGAAACCGGTATCACAACGGCCACAGTCCAGACATCGGGATGGGTGGCCAGCAACAACAATCGAATTCGGACACATTTCTAAACGACCGACACACAGTCGACACGAGACTCTGTCGCCAGGCACAAAAAAAAACTCAAACTGATAAGGGCTCACAAAACAGCGGTCCAGCGCCGCCCGCTTTGTGTGTCGAGGTGAGCTGGGGCAGTGGTACAGAGGTACACACAAACAGCCCAACTGCAGTCGGCCGGCGAGCGCCGCACGGAGAGGGAGGCACGCGGCTGGTCTGCGGTGCGTGCCAGGGCTGCCGGCCGATCGCTGAGCGCCGTGGGTAGCGAGTGCGAAGTATCGCTGTGAGGCTGATCAGCGCCGGCGACTGACGCGGTGCCTTCTGAGGGCACAGCGCTAGATCCTAATCGGCCGAGGAGTGTGCTGACAGCACCTCGGTGGTCACCCAGGCAGATAGACAGCCATTAGAGACCACGACTAGGCGAGACAAAGGTCAGCGTCCATCGCTTCAGCTGTGTCCCGGAGCCGGGGTCCTTCAACAACCAGATACAAGGTTCTACATATCACAGGAATAATAGTCCCAGAACGGAGGCCAAGCACATGCCAGACGAATAGCAGACAGTCGTCTTGCTGACGGAAAGTCAGAGCGGTGAGCAGCAGCCTGTTGGACCTGCCACTCCACAATGAAGACACACAGTGTGCAGCTGCGGGGCGGGCTCAAGATGCCGCTGCTGGGGGTCAGCTGCCCGGCCGGCGGAGAGCGCCGGGACGTCGGCGCCGCCGTGCGGGCCGCCCTGCTGGCCGGCTACCGGCACATCGACACCGCCTTCTCACACGGCCACGAGAGGGAGGTGGGCGCCGCCATCAACGCCGTCATCGCGTCCGGCAGACTCAGCCGCAGCGACATCTTCGTGGTGACCAAGCTGCCCATGACGGGCATGCAGGCCGGCCGGGCCGAGGCCTACCTGCGCAGATCTCTGCAGCTGCTGGACCTCGAGTACGTCGACCTGTACCTGATCGAGCACCCGGTCGGTCTAAGAGAGAAGCTCACACAGAACGGCGAACATGGCGGGACCACAAACGGCACCGTGACGAACATAAAGAGCGAACTCCAGCAGCAGAGAAGGCGCTCTGCGCACAACAGAAGAACGAGTTTTCAATGTGACATCCTAGCGACAAGCCGAGTTAGCTACAGGCATACAATCACCGAAGGCCGCAGGCGCACTGTGTCGCTTCGATCGGCATCCCTCGCGGACAGAAACATCAGCCTGAGCTTATTGTCACCCACTGAGACGAATTGTCTGGAGCTGGACCTGGGGACCGACCTGCTGGCCGTGTGGCGTGACATGGAACATCTGGTTCGGCTTGGTCTGACCAATAACATCGGCGTGCGCAACTTCAGCGTTCATCAGCTCACCAAGGTTGTGGCGGCGGCCGAGATCGCGCCGGCCGTCCTTCAGATCGAGTGTCACGCCTATTTCCAGCAGCGCGAGCTGCGCCGGCTCTGCCAGATACACAACATCGCGCTGACGGCGTTCGGAGCGCTGGGAGAGACTCCCGGCCAGTGGCAGACGGTGACGAACGGCAACGGCATGGTACAGGGAGTGCCGAGCGGCAACGGATCGTCCGAGATATTCCAGAAAGGTACTGGCGTAGTCAGCGGGATCCAGAACGGTACCGGTGCGGTTGAAATGATCCAGGACGGAAACTACGTGACCACGAACATGCTGAATGGGATTAACATGGTCAAGAGTATTCTGTACGGAAAGGGAAAGGCCGAAATGATCAAGAACGTTAACGGAACGGACAAAATGATACAAAACAAAAAAGGAACGACCGGAAAGAGCCAGAATGAAAACGGCACAGAAGAGAGCAAGCTGAATGGAAACAACATGGCCAACAAGATGCCAAACGGGCACGGCGTGACCCAGACGATTATAAACGGGAGCAGCGTGGCCAACAAGCTACGAAACGGCATTGGGGAGACGGAGGAGATATTGAGCGACGACGGCGACGGCGAGGAGAAGACGCCGGACCTGCTCCACAACCCGGTGGTCCGGCTGGTGGCGCTCCGACACAAACGGACTCCGGCGCAGGTGCTGCTCCGCTTCCTGGTGCAGCACAACATCGCCGTCATCCCCGCGGCGGCCACCGAGGCGGCCGTCAAGGAGGACAGGAGCATCTTCAACTTCCAGCTGGACCAGGTGGACGTGGAGGCGCTCCGCTCGCTGGAGCGCGGCCAGGCCGGCCGGCGCTTCTACTTCCGCGACGCGTTCCCCGGGTACGAGAACCACCCCGAGTATCCGTTCTGAGCCGAGTTTGAACGCTCTCTCGGTAGTCGCGAGTGAATGTCGACTTATGTAGCACTATCTTTTGCACGGTGCGCAGTGCACACTGTGTGTTGCAGGTGCTATCTACAAGTAGTTTATGGGAGTGTATTTTTGTTATTAGTGTAACCCAGAGACACATGAGTAGGCAAGAATTGTAAGGGGGTAGAAACTACGCAATCGTACATTTTACCACATGGAAATTGGGAAATGGTTCAGGAATCTTGAGGCAGAAAACATCGATCCTGCACTTTACTGGCGAATTTGTAATGAACTTGTATTCAATTTCTGCCAACCACATCCCTTTTCCTACCTATATATTTTCCACAGCGAAACGGGAGATCAGATCGTGACAATATACGTTGCGATGTTACGTGCAGAAGGGATAATAAGCGAGATCTCGCTGTGACAAACTGAGCCGAAATCGGCCAGTTTTCCCAGGCGATAGAGATATAGGAAACCGATAATGTTCGTTGGTACTATGGTTGCATATTGCTCCTACTGATGAATTGGCCGGCGCTATTATGTTTGTTGCATGAGTTCTGCTTTTGAATTAATATAATTGCATTGCAAAAAATCAACCTTTACTAATATTAAAGATATACGAAAACAGATCGAAGGCATAAGCAAGTATAACCATTTTTTTCCAAACCTAAATAAACTCAAGAATGATATTGCTCAAAGAGTGCAGGTCAGAATCGCTGCAATCGTTGCTTCTCATCGTTGCGAATAAAACCGACTACCAGCACGGAGTAGTCGGGAATCACTCAAGGTCTCTCTTATCTCCCCCCAGAAAAAAAAACAGACAAAGGCATGACCATTTAGGACTTTATATAGCACGTTTGGCAGTACAATGGAAGATATAAGCGACTAGTCTCACGTCTGCAAACTGCAAAAACGATGCAAAACGACGCCACCGACTCACTGCGGACGGTACAGAGGAGCAACAAAGCTCGCGACGCTGCCAGGTCAGAGGATCGGCAATGCGTCACAACAAAATACATTTCTTCCTCTAAATATGCTAATAGGACAACCAACAAACAGCTGTTTGTGAATAAGAAACGCGTAACATTTTTCACTTAGAATGGACACTCGGGGTGACGTTCAACGCCAGGGAACGAGAGCATGGTGAAGCTTCTGCCGGCCTCTCCTTGATTCAAGAAACGCAGGGCTTCCATGTCTAGCTCGTCCAGCTTGAAGCTGAAGATGTCGCCGTTCTGCTTGATGCGACCAGCGTTGGTTGACTTGGGGATGACGATGATGTCCTGCTGGACCAGGAACCTGAGCAGCACCTGGGCCGCCGTCCGTTTGTGTTTCTCGGCCACCAGACGTACAACGGGATTGTTCAGCAGGTCGGGCAGCTCGATCTTGACGCCGCGCTTTTCATAGAGCACCTTCCTGCCGGGAGAGGCCAGAGGCGCGTAGGCCGTGATGGCGATGTTGTACTTCTTGCAGACCTCGCGCATCTTTAGCTGCTGGAAGTAGACGTGACACTCGACCTGGTGCACTGCAGGTGGGATCTTGGCATTCGACACGATCTTGAGGACCTGTTTGTCGGTGAAGTTGGACACTCCAATCGACTTCGCCAAGCCCAAGGAGACCATCTTCTCCATGTCCTTCCATACGGAAATCAAATCGGTTGAGCAGTCCAGAACAACCTTACCGTTGTCCATCGGAAAGGGGTCTGACTCACTCCTCTCAGCGAATCCTAGCGGTGCGTGAACCAGATACAGGTCAACGTAGTCAAGACCGAGAGCCTTTATCGACTTCCTGAGGTACTTCTCTACCTTACCCGCCTGCATCCCGATCATCGGCAGCTTGGTCACTACGAAAATGTCACTTCTCTTGACCTTGCCGGAGGCGATGGCGGCCTTGATGCCGCGGCCGACGCCGTCCTCGTTCAGGTAGTTGTAGGCGGTGTCGATGTGCCGGTATCCGGCCAGCAGGGCGGCCTCCACGGCGGCAGCTACCTCATCTCCCGGTGCCTGCCAGCAGCCGAGGCCGAGCAGCGGCATCTTCTGTCCATTGTTGAGCTTCACAGACGATCCCATGGTTCGTCACTGACGTTTCCGCTTCACACTGAGAATCAGCTGGGGGCGGTGGGCGAGCGGAGATGGACGCTGCGGATAGCACGGACTCTGAGCTCCGAATGCGGCCGCCGGCCCAGAGAGGGCCTTTATCGAGCCGCCGGCGACACGTGAATGCCCTGTCCTCAGTAGAGGACCATGACCAGCACTACGAACCGCCCAGAGCCGTGCAGAAAGGCTCTGTCATGCTGACAGACTGCTTACGAACATGCCAGAGGGTCGGTCCATCGCGCTACACTCAAATGTACTTGCCTAACATAGTCTGATTGCTTTTACTCACAAGTACCTACATACAAACACGGCCACTAGATTGACTAGTTCGTCGGACCGCCTATCGTGTGTTCTCGTATGATAGCATAATCTGCTCCAACTGCCGGCGCCTCGCGGTGCTGCGTCATCCGGCCAACCGTCGGGGGGACGCGCCGGCCAAGGTCAGGGAGACGGGCGGAGCGATCGGCCCGGCCGGCACGACCGGTCGCAGTTCGGACCCGACCCAGCCGGACACGAACCGTGAGAGATGCTCAGGTAGACAACAGGTCAGAAAATCGCCCTTTTGTAGCGCTCCGCAGGGGACGAGTCGAAGGTTAACGCAGTGTGCCGTTAAACAAAACAGCTGCAGGTTTGGTGAAAAATGTGCTTACCTTACGTTTTACAAGACAAACTAGTGTGAGAGACTCGTCGAGAGATGTGTGATGCATATCATGCCACCATTCCCCGGTAAATAGTCTAATATCATGTAGTAAGCCAACGCCAACATCCAGAAACATGCCGCTGTCGTCCATTACCACGAGCCTGCTTCAGCTTAGGATGAACTTTATTCACACAACTCCGAGGCTACAATATAAGCAGAGCAACACCAGCACCGAAAGTAGCTCAGAAGTCAGAAATGAACTAGTATCAACACCTCAACCAGGCACGGCCGAGGCTGCATCGACACTGGTGTGAGACAAAGCGCATCAATCATTACGGCACAAAGCAGGAGTCGCCGAAAAACCTCACACACATCATACCGATTATTTGCACATAATGCTAAGCGCCATGCAGCAAAACCAAAGCAACAAATAAAAATACCACGAAAACATCTTACGAACATCTCTCAAAAAAGCACCTGATGACTTCCAGAGAAACATAGGACATTTGACCATGAAAATAGTGCCAACGAACGTGGAAAGGCTCAGTCTAGTGCGGAGCTTCGGGATGCATGTCGGAGTTGGGGAACAGGTCCTTCATTCGGACGATTCTGCCGGCCTCTCCCTGGTCCAACAGACGCAGAGCCCCCATGTCCACCTCATCCAGCTTGAAGCTAAATAGGTCCCCGTTCTGCTTGATTCGTTCCACTTTTACCGATTTCGGAATGACGATGATGTCCTGCTGAACCAGGAACCTGAGCAGCACCTGGGCCGCCGTCCGGTTGTGTTTCTCGGCCACCAGACGCACCACCGGGTTGCTGAGCAGGTCCGGCAGCTCGACCTTCATCCCCATCTTTTCCATGAACATTTTGCTGCCGGGCGATCCCAGTGAGGAGTAGGAGGTGAAGGCGATGTTGTGCTGTTTGCACATCTCCCGCATCTCTGTCTGCTGGAAGTAGACGTGGCACTCGACCTGCTGCACGGCCGGCGGAATTTTGGCGTTGGCCAGGATCTTGCGGACCTGCTTCACGGTGAAGTTGGACACGCCGATGGACTTGGTCAGTCCCAGGGAGACCATCCGTTCCATTTCCTTCCATATGGCGATCAGGTCAGTCGAGAAGTCCATCAGAAGCTTCCCGTTTTCGAAGGGGAACACATCTGTCTCGCTCCGCTCCACCAGACCGATAGGGACGTGGACCAAATACAGGTCTATATAATCCAGGCCCAGCGACTTGAGTGACTTTCTCAGGAACTTCTCCACCTTCCTCGCCTGCATGCCGATGTTTGGCAGCTTGGTCACCACGAATATGTCGCTTCTCTTGACCTTACCAGAGGCGATGGCGGCCTTGATGCCGCGGCCGACGCCGTCCTCGTTCAGGTAGTTGTAGGCGGTGTCGATGTGCCGGTATCCGGCCAGCAGGGCCGTCTCCACGGCAGCAGCTACCTCATCTCCCGGTGCCTGCCAGCAGCCGAGGCCGAGCAGCGGCATCTTCTGCCCATTGTTGAGCTCCACAGAGGGCACCATGGCTGGTTCGACTATCCGGGGTACGTTTAAGTCTTGGGGAAGTTATAGAACGGCGCAACGAAGAAGCTACAGCCGTTGTAGGCGGTGTGAGCAACGGGCCTTAACTGGCAACGGGTTACCGAGGCTCGCTCTTATCAGGGGACCAAAGGGCTGATGCAACTAAATGGCAAACCATGACCAGCAGCCGAGACGTCGCGAACACTTCACGAAAAGACGAGTCATCCAATAGCGGAAATGACGAGCAGTGGAATGTACACGAGATATTTAAAATGTAATAAAACTCATACGAATAAAAGTTGAGATTGGGCCAGCACTTGATGTCACACTGATGGGCACCGAACCCCTGAAGCTACAGCAGCTGTCATCAACTTGAAGTTTGAAAAGGCTGCAGGCGATGAAATTGGGAAAAGAAATAAGTAATGGAAAAGGGGCTTCCGAGTAAGATACCGACAGGACTAAACAGGCCTAGCCCGTGCCTCTCTGCATATTGGTCAATTATCTGAACACTGAACAGTCCTTATCACCTGTCCCATATCGGACAAACTCAACACATTATCTCACGACTATAGACAGACGGACCAAGCGCAGCACATCTCCGACCTGGCACGGACGGTCAGGGCGCGGCCCGCTACCGCAGCGCCCGGGGACCAGCGGCGCCACCTACCGTTAGCTGGGTCAGATAAGACGACAGCACCAGCCGGTAACCGGACAAAAGATCGTAAAGCAGAAGATCGTATGGCAGAAGATCGTAGGCAGTTGATCGTATGCAAAATATCGTAATGGATAAAGATCGTACGACATAATGCTCGTATGGACAAAAGATCGTATTCGCTAAAGATCGTCAAGGAAAATGATCGTATGCCAAAAAGTCGTAATGGATAAAGATCGTACGACATAATGATCGTATGGACAAAAGATCGTATTCGCTAAAGATCGTCAAGGAAAATGATCGTATGCCAAAAAGTCGTAATGGATAAATATCGTACGACATAATGCTCGTATGGACAAAAGATCGTATTCGCTAAAGATCGTCAAGGAAAATGATCGTACGCCAAATGATCGTATGAGATAAAGATCGTACAGTCAAAATATGGGATTCACATGGTGCAGCCCAACTCCAGCGCATACAAAGCTTATCAATTTATGTGTTCGCGTAGTAAGTGGCCGTCTTAAGCTCGACCATACATTGATGTTATTTCAGAGCTATAGATGGCTCAATGACACCTAAAAGTAACGTGTTGTATATGTGCCGAATAAATGAATGTATGTGCTGCCGTTTTCATGTACCTATTTGAAGTGAATACAACTAAACCCATGTTCCCCCCCCAACCCCTCCCCCCACCGCCTGGAAGGTTAAAATGTTGCTTAAGCGGCTGAAGTAAACGGCGTTAAAAATACTTTTTCCTTCGCACTGTTACATTTTCATATTGAATCGTCATCGCTTTACGAGTCATCAACAGATGTTTATCACGTTATCACTATCGAAGTCGCAATTCTCCTAGTTATAGGATCCTAGTTTCTAGTTATAGGAGTCATTGTTATCGAAGGCCGGTTAACCCTCGCATGTGTAGGGGGGGGGTCGGATGGACCCCCCCCATGGTTTTTCGCGAATAACTCGCGTAAAAAGCGGCCGATCGCGACGAAACTTTCAGTACCCTCGTATTGATCAATTTTACACCTACCCTGAAAATTTCATGACCCTGACCCAAATGACCTTTGACCTGTGACCTCTTTTCCGAGACCATGTTTGGCCGGAATCGCGATTTCGCGTATGTCGGCTCGCACTAGCCGCGTGTTTGCAAGCTTTTCGTGGTTTCAAACGTTCAAACATGTGATTTGATGTTACTCCCGTGTGTGTCAAGGTCACCTGAAGGTCAGGTCAGGTCATTGACCTTTGGTGACCTCGGGTGACCTCGGGTCACTTTTTCGAGTTTTACATGTTTCTAGGCTAGTTTTTGGAGCTGAATTCGAATTTAGCAACCATTTGAACATTTACGAAGTAGTTTTGGTGACTTCGTAACATGTTACGAAGCTGTCAGAGGCGGTTGACACGTACTACGAATACCCGTCACGACGCCTACTGGTTGACCTGACCTGACCTGACCCGACCTGGTCTAAATGCGTCAAGACATCATCTTTGATCAAAACTAACACGGTATTCGTGATCAGCACCCCGAAAAACCCCTTAGCAGCCACACTTTACGACTTTCTAACAGGTCCCGATTTTCCCGACTTTGGGTCATTGACCTGACCTGGAAGGTCAACCAATGACCTAGGACCTTAAAATTGGGTATCATCGGCTTCCTCTCGTCACGGGCAACACGCTCGTTTTTTCCGCGAAGCTCTAGCTCGATCAGGGGCCAAACGGCAAGGGGGGGGTCCAACCGACCCCCCCCCCCCCCTACACATTAGAAGCTGGCAAACGCCGCACACATGCGAGGGTTAAAGATGTCAATTGTCCATCATTGGTTCGAAATCGCCCCAGTAATTACCGAGTTACTGAAATGGGAACAAATTTGGCACCTCTTCTTTTTGTATTTTGCACATGCATTGGGGGTCACTCACATAGATCAAGGGTATCCGACCTTTGGTAGAAGGGATGCAGCTACCCTATAAATATTACCGCAAGACAATCGCTCAAGCCGCTGCTGAGATATGGTCTATGGACCTCTCAAAATCACTACTTTTGCAAAACTGCTTGAACACCCTTGACTTCTCACGTGGCACGTGCCACGACGGCCACTGAGATGTATCAAAAGTAGTCAATTACGGGGAAGAAGGGATGGCCGGGCTACCCAACAAAAAAAGACCGCAGGCCAATTGGTTCAGCGGTTGCTGAGACATAAGCCTCTCAAAAGCGTTACAGGCCGGGCCGGGCCGGGCCGGGCCATACTGAGATTAGTTCCCGTTATATTCAAAAGACTTCGCTTCGCTCGCTGAGCTCGCTCGCTCTTAACAACACTATTCTATACGATT